ATCGGTGGTTTCAAAATGGCCACCGGGTGAAAAGCATGGCTGCCTGCTGTTTTCTGGCAAGGATTCCTCGCTGCACGGGCAGCGAAAATGGCCGCGCTATGGAGAATCTTCGCTGGACGGTGAGTTTTAAGCCCCTAGGAACGCATTAATTGGGTTTTAATGCGTTTCTATGGGCTTTTAAAAATCGCACGACGATGTTTTCGTTCGACAGCGATTTTTTCGGAACAAATTAACGTCATGCGAGGCACCACTGTATAACACATCTGAAAGCCACCAGGATGGAGAATATTGCTCCATCTTACAGAAAGAACTATCCTGTGATTCTAAAGTCTGTTTTGGATAGCACTTCCGGGAGTGAAAAACAACCCTGGCAGAGGAGTTGATTTTTAATGAAAAAAAAGTTGCAGTGGGGAAAGTGTTAAACTCCCTATGCAAGATCCGTATCTAGATTATGGACTCCTGCATCTGCTTTTGTGGAAGAAGGAGAAGTGGTCGTTGCAAACATACTTTAAAACAAGTTATTAATATATGTAATTTGACCCTAAATGTAATGGCAGGTCAAAGGGGAAATGCACTTATATGCAAAGATCACACTGCACAAAGATGAAAACCCACCCACAAGTGCCTATATGTTGTATACCTGAACATGAGATCACACAGGTCAAAAAGTCCTATTTTACATCTAAGGACTTTGTTGTTTTTTGTGAAAACAAACGGTATTTAGAAAACAAACAGCAAGCATGACAACACAAACCATTTTCTGTAGTTTAACCTTGATCTGTAGGGGGAAGAACAATATATTACCAATGGCATTTTTATGATACAAAGGCAGAGCCTTCCAATAAAATTGTTAACAGCTTTAATTTCCCCAAGGGGTCATAACAGCTCAACCCCCTTCTTTTAATATGTTAAAATGACAAAATTATTGGTGGTGTGAGCCAGTATTAGAAACTGAGGCATAGCAAATCCTGTGGTCAAAGCAGTTTTTTCATTTATACCAATGTTTTAGACATAGTACGACACTATCTCTGCAATACAGAGCTCAATTGCTGTTCGTAACGTAATCCACACATTTTGGGAAAATGTTTCTGTTTTTTAAAAAATTGCAGATTACTAACCAAAGGAGACATTTAACATAACACTCCTGTATTCACATTATGCTGGCACTGAGGAGGTGCTATTCTTACACCTAGGCTTCTGCTGAATCCTATGGCCTTCAGATCTTCACTCTGGGTTTGTCCATACAGCTTCTAAAATGACATGGGCTGTTCCTGAAGTCACTGCTGAGAAGTTACATCCCAGCCCCATATTCTCACTCTCAGATATTAAGAGGCAGAAAGAGGTACACATATTGTTTAGTGCGATCTAAAGACTAAAACATCCTTCTCTATAGAGAATATATAGATGTTTGAAAAAAGAGAGCAAGTGACCAAAAAAAAAAGAAAAAAGAAAAGAAAAGAAAAGAAAAAAGAAAGAAAGAAAGAAAAAAGGTCAGGGAATAGACAGATAACTTTGTTGGCTTGTTTGTTTAAATAGATTTGAAACAGAGATAGGGAATGTGTGCCAACCCTCATGTGGAGGGTCTGCAGATCCCATCATACCTTGCCATAGGCTATGGTGGCTTGGGCTAATGAGTGATCAAGCTCCTGATATCTTCAAGGCTCCATGTTCCCCACTGCTGGTGTTTAATTTACATATTCCAACATGTAATAAAACCCTAGACCAATAAAATAACAAATAGGGAACTGCAACATCACAAAACAAGGGATTATTGGCACCTGAAGTAGGATTAATGAAGTTTTATATGATTCATGGACATCCTATAATTTAGAAAGTATAGGGTACTGCAACATCTCAAGAAAAGGGATTAGTGGCACCTGGAGTGGGATTAATGAAGTTTTATAAGATTCATGGACATCCTATAATTTAGAAAGTATTTATCTCTACTATAATCTGATTAAGGGTCAAACTAGGGCTTGCCTACGCGTGGCAATTGGAGCCATCTGGATTGGAATAGAGTTGCTAGGAGTTATGCTATGACATTTGATGTGATCCTTGTGTCCAAATGGCATATGGACCTCAACCAATACTTTTGAGTTCACAACAGCCTGCTGTCAATTTGCCAGTACAGTATTGTGAACAATACTATTGGGTTCACAACAGCCTGTTGTCAATTTGCCAGTATTGTGAAGTAGCTTAAAAAGAGAGCCACTTCCCAAGATACAGCTGGACTAAACCTCCAATCAACTCTAGGCAGTGTGTCTGACATTTGGAGTATGGGTTGGAGAAATTAATTTCTTATACCAGACATTTATTGTGCTATTTGTGCAAGTAGCCACTTGCTGTAATTACCCATGATACTGACTCCATGAAGAAAAGTGAAGAAATGCCCCTTCTTATCCTTCAGAACTGAGTAGAGAGAGGCAGAAGAAATGCATTTTTGATCCTTCTGAAACTCTGAGCCTGAAGTAAGGCCCTATACAGTGAAGGAGGTGGCATGGAGCATTAACTTCCACCATTTAAAAATGCAACTCTTGAATTGGTAAAAATGGAGAGCTTTCCCTAGCTGAGAGAGAATAATTATAACCCTAGATATATATGAAAAACAGCAGTGGAATGGCTGAGCTTCTAACCTAGACTACACTCTAAAGTGAAGAAAACTTGCCTAAAAGTTGGAAGCTCTATTTAATTTCATTACATCAAACAACTTTGGAAGAAAGTTCAGTTCTTCTCTAGAGCACTGGGCAATCGGCAGCTGATACAGATTTTGAAGAAAGACTCCTTCTAATACCATGCTGTTCCTTCCATGTAAAACTTGATTGTGTGGCAGAAGTGGATAAGCCTACATTTTAAAAGCCTATTTCTTCTTACAAGCAGCAAGAAAGCAGTACCTCTTCTGACTGCGTATGGGACACTACATGCCTTTTCCTCCCATACAACATTCTATTTTATTCCATTCCATTCTATTCTTGTATACGTAAGAAAGATTTAAACTAGACCTCTTTGGAACATTTATGTATATTGAGACAGAAAAAGGCATATCACACCCTTCTAGTGTTTGTGTACCACTCAGAACAACTAAAAGCAGTTAAAAGCAAAGCATGCAACAAAATGACAAACAGTATAGTGAAAAGAGACTGATAATATAAATAAAACATATGTGAAAAAGGTTTTTAATGCAGGCATATTCAGTCATTATTATTTATTTAAAACATGTCCATATTGCTTTTCAACCCATAGAGTGGTTTATATAACAGAGGAATGGTTCATCCACAACAGAAAACAGGGCTTTGAAATCAAGTTCTGGGGAGTACTGTATGGTTAAAGCTTTTAGTTACAAATGACTCAAGGTTGAGCAGAATAAATGTTTTCACAACAAGCTAGTCTCTTCTATTTTTGGAAGGTAATTCTAGAACTAGCATGCTGTCTGAGAAAATGCCTGATCTCCGACAATTGACTGTAGATCAACCAGCAGAGTGCCTCACCTGTCCTGCTCGTGTGACACTGACACTGGTCTTTCATTCCCAGTGACTGAACTACTTTTGGAGCTGGATATACAAGGATCCTCAAATACAGTCTCAGTCTATAGGCAGGTTTCTTATGGCAGAAGACAATCACCAGATTCCCCCCCCCCGCCCACCCCAAAGGGAGTGTACATGT